TTTCAGGATATGCGCTGGTTTCCCAAGATGGAAGATATTTGCGTCGCTACAGGTCAGTGGGTTTTGTTTCGTCCTTTTGTGTAGAGGCCATGGCCATTGCAGAAGCCTTAGAGCTGGCTCTTGCGGAGTGTTGGCCAGCAGTCACTGTTTTTTCGGATTCACGTTCAACCTTAGTGGCGGTGTGTTCTAGGTTTAATCCGAGTAACAGTTCATACCTGGTTCTTCGAATAAAATCTTTGTTTTTGAGACTGACCGAGCGAGGAGTAAGGATCAAGCTCCCTGGTCACGTTGGTGTTGCGGGCAACGAGCGAGCCGACGCCCTTGCCAGGGACGCGGTAAAGTGCGGAAGAGATTCCTGAGGGCGATGTCCCATTGAGCGGAAATATATAGCGGAACGGAATGTGCGGAACCAGCTCGACCAATCGTAACCACAGAAAAAGCAAAGGAAAGAAAACGGAATGGCTATGATTGGTCGAGCTGGTTCCGCACATTCCGTTCCGCTATATATTTCCGCTTAATGGGACATCGCCCTGAGTGGGGGCACCGCTCAAAGAGCTAAAAAATTACTGGAAAGCGAATATGAGATCGGAAATGCTGGAGTGGTGTCGCGGGGAAGCAGGAACTAAGGGTGGCTATTACTGTAACCACTTCCTGTCCGATGGCAGACGATCATGGTTTGAACAGTGTAATTTAAGTCATAGGTCGGTTCTCTCAATCGCCTTCGCAACGGTCACACCTCTCTACGCGCCAGCCTCTTCAGATTTAAAATTACTGACTCCCCCTCCTGCCGTTTCTGTGACCAAGAAGAAACTTCTTACCATGTTTTCTGGGAGTGCCCAGAGTATGAAGATCAGAGAGTGCAGATGCGCTTCTCCTTGGCCCGGGCGGTCGGGGGCCTCCCTTGCCCGATCGAATCCCTAATCTCCTGTTTGGACAGGAACATCATGATCCCAGTGTGTAGGTTTATTTGCTCTTTACCGATTTTTATTTAGTATTATATCAACGTGTCAACTACTAGTCAACTTTTCTTTCTTTTACGTTGCGCAGAGCTTCTATAACTAGCGTTTTGTAACAACTCACAAGGAGTTTTTATGGCTTTCTGCCTTTACATTTCAAATTTGAAGGCAAGGCCTGCTAAAAGTTCTGGTAATTTTAGTTGTAATTCTAATTTTAAATTTAAATTTAATTTTAGATTTGTGTTATATTTACGTCCCCCCCCCATCTGTGTATAGAGGTCTTTATAATTTTAAGTACTACACCGATATTATTTAAAACTCTTAGTTTATGTTCAATTTGTTTTCTAAACCTATGATACACAAACTGTTATCTACTGCGCCTTGTACACAACGTGTGATATTACCTTAGCAGGATAAGCTTATGTACCTACCTTTAGTTTATGACGCGGTCATCCAGGAGAGTGCTCTCTACACACCACTCCCAGATATTGCGATCCCTACTATGTAATCGTCAAGCTCATTGTTTGTAACACTCATTGTAAACCCTATAGGAGAGATCCTCGGGTATTTTTCTTGATAAAAAAAAAAAAAAAAAGAGTAGTTTTCACTGTTGATTTCTAGGTCTTGGCACAGTCTGCGAGTGGGGAGATTTAAACCCCGCATGTGAGATTCGTAGCACAGCTCCAATCAGGCGATCGGATTGAGTTAGAGAGTTTGTAGGAAAAATAGGTACAGGGGGGATTTCAGACTGTAGGATGAAATGTGTACTTAGATGGATATCTGCTCCTTATTGACGAAAGCGTACAATGCGTGCATGGCTTGTATGTTATTAGAAAAGGCAACTTCCGCCACACTATATGATGGGCTGAAGCCGTTGTTGAATAAATCAAGTATAAGTGAGTCAGAAGCGTTTTTATGAATAAGGCAATGAAAAAAAATATTATCTCTGTTTTGGTGTGTGTATCCACATTTGGCTGTTTCAACAATTGACTTATCCGCAAGGTGCGCCCTAGCACTCGTATGAAAAGTACAAATGCGTGAGATAAAGGAGATTAAGCATCTAGGGAGTGGTCTTTTAACTTTGTACCAAGGTTTATTAAGAACATGTTCCTTTCAAGAAAAGTATCTACCCCCCTTGGTCCGGGCTTCCCCGAGCAAAAACTCCCTCGACTCTTCCAGCACTTCCCTCCTGAAACCGGGAAACAGGGAGCTAAAAGGGCACTTAAAAGACCCGTCAGGTTCAGGTAGACTCAAAGCCTTCTTGGCAGTCTGCATTCTCATTACCCCTGATACTTTTATGAGCGGGGACCCACAAGAAGCAAATCTTAATTCCCTGCAAAGCGAGTTCAGAAGTGAGCAATTTTATTTTATAAACAACACTCGGGTGAGAATCCCGAGGGTCAGAAGACGTGAGACAACTCAAAACACTCAGGACTAAAGTCGGAAGCTACAATCGACAGGCTGAATGCAAAATCCCTTATGTACTCGAGAGCACACAGAATGCCTTGTGCTTCAGCATTAAAGATAGTAGAATGATTATTGAGTCTGGTGAAATGTACCAGATTAGGGTACTCAGAAACTATCGCAAAACCCATCCGAGCGGGGTGATCCCCGACAGAAGGTATCATGGAACCGTCAGTGTAGAAGACATGTGAGGCACTCATACTATCTAGGAATCTATTCAATTCCAATTGAGGTGAGTGTGCAGAACGAAACTCAATGCCTGAATTCAGATCAACATAACACTTATAAAACCTGACAAAAAAAGGAAAGGATAGTAAGCCAGGTAGAGTGAGCACTTCTATTTGCTTAACTGCAGTCGAGAGGTGGTTGAAAATGTTGAACAGATCAAAACTGTTGGCTTCACATATAGGGCTCCACGAAGGAAGGTTTTCTCGCACCATTGAACTCAGTTGGTGTTCCGCACGAGAAGTTACACGACACAAATACTTGCGGGTCAAAAACCTATGTCGACAGGCCAGGGACTGTTCTAACCAGATCTAACAGCACATTGGTTGGAGTGAACTTTATAAGGCCACAAACTATGCGAATACAAGCAAACTGAAGTCTATCTAACACGAGACATTCAGGCTGAGCAAGAGGAGATACCACTTGACAACCCCAATTCAACACAAAGCGAACCAGACCCTTATAGGCCGTGGAGAGAACACTTGGGTAGACCCCCCACTTGATGCTCGCAATGGCTTTGAATATATTGATCTGTGGAAGAACGCTCTTCCAAATTTCTGCTACATGTTTTTTCCACCGCAACGAGTAATCTAGAATTACACCCAAAAATCTGACACACCAGACGATTGGGATGACGACGTTGTGAAGAGAAATCTTGACATTATGCTTTTTAACTGACCACTTGGTGTTACGAAGGCTGTTCAGCGAGAAGAGGAACATCGATGACTTTTCTGGAGAAAGTCTTAATCCCAGTTCCTCAAGATGTGAGGTAACATTCGTAAGCGCAATATTCAGTTGCTGAGCAACATAAGGGATAGAGGAATGAGAACAAAATACGACAAGATCGTCAGCATACATTTGTAACGATCCTGAATTGTTACAGCCGGGACCGACTATCTGTCCCGGCATAAAACGGCGCTTTGCGCCAAATAAAACGTCAAAATGCAGCGCATAAGTAATACGCGCTGTCAACGGCAGGTACGTTGCCCGCATCGCGCGCCGCCTCGCACCACGGAGCATCAGGAAAATAGTTGTTTGTTTCTCCCGCGCAGCGACAATTGCAACAAACAACCAGATGCTCCGGGGGTATATAAGCCGGGCGAAAAATCTTTGACGGAAGATCACCTCCGATCTCCAAATCTAGAGAGACGTGCGGAGAAGAAATTCCTCAGTCGGGAAAACCGATAAGTCCTCAAAGATTTGATCCGATCCGCACCAAGGAAACTTAGTTTCTCTGCCGGGTAAACCGGCATTCCGCTCCGCACCGGAAAATCTCCGATTCTCCGCCGGGTAAACCGGCCTTCCGCTCCGCTCCGGGGAGTCTTCGATTCTCCGCCGGGTAAACCGGCATTCCGCTCCGCACCGGGGAATCTCCGATTCTCCGCCGGGTAAACCGGCCTTCCGCTCCGCTCCGGGGAGTCTTCGATTCTCCGCCGGGTAAACCGGCATTCCGTTCCGCTCCGGGGAGTCTTCGATTCTCCGCCGGGTAAACCGGCATCCCCAGAGATGCCAGATCGCGCCGGACAGCATCGAGAGTATCGAAGCGGGGTATCCCCACCGCCTTCGATGCTCTCGTACGCATACAAGCGAAAACAGCGTCCGTGTGCGGTTCTCGCTTGTATGCGTACGACAGCATCGAGGCGGTGGGGATACCCCGCTTCGATACTCTCGATGCTGTCCGGCGCGATCTGGCATCTCTGGGCATCCCTTCCGCTCTGCTTCAAGGAATCTTTTGATTCTCCGCCGGGCAAACCGGCTTTCCGTTAGATTCGCTCCAGGGGAATCTCGTGTTCTCTGCCGGAGAAACCGGCCTCCGTATCAAGTCGTATCAGGAGAACGTTCGTTTCTAGATTTAAGCAAAGACACCGTGCTACGCACGGGCGAAACGGAAAGGTCGATCAATCACTCAAAAACGATTGTGTAAGAAAGCGTTTCTTTTTCTTTTCTCTGTGAACGTAATAAACAAAACTGATTTTCTAGAAAGACTCACCGTTCACGAGATCTTTACTTTATACACTGTTCTTGTCACAAGCGTACTTTCGCAATTTCTTCTGAGTATTTATATGTAAATCTTTTCTTTATTTTTTTTAATGAATAAACACGTGTATTTCTACTTTTGTCACAGTATAATCGAGTCGTTTCTGATTGCTTTATCTAACCGAAACCTGATCCCGACGAGCTACTCCGCAGCTTAACACTAAATTTAACTCCTACAACGAGAAAACGTCTTGACAGAAAAGTCAATCCGTTACACATTAGTAATTTGACTGGGAGGGGTAAGCACATTTCCACAAAAGACTGAAAATAAATCAAGTCTTTTCTTATATACTGTTTAATTAAAAACTCGACCCGACTCCGATTTTAATTTTTGTTTAATAATATCTTCTGTTCGATCTCGTATTCGACTGAAACGATTGATCGAATACGTTATTTCAAATTTAACACGGCGAGCACGTGCCCCTGCGTGATCACTACGATTTCCACACGCACGCTCCGACAATTAATAGGAGGTTGCAAATAATTGTAAACGCTCCGTATAATTAGAACACTGTATATATTTAAATAAAATATATAATGAACAAAATAAACGACTTTTTATAATACAATAAATGAATCTTTGAATTGTACGTTTTTCCGATTTGACTCTCAGGCAACGATTCGACTATACTGTACGCCTTCACAATGGAGAGTGACCGGTTGCCTCGATCTAGGCGGATGTTCGATTTTCTAACGAACATTCTCGAAACCATTTTTAGGAGCACCGTAGTCCACGTGCTTCCGCTAATAGTACAGACAACATCCACCAGGGCGCATGCACGGCCGGTACATCCAGAAGCTGGCGCGCTCTCGCGGGTGCCGTCTTACAGTTCGGTCGTCCTGACAATAGCTTCGTCCCCGAAGTTCAAATTTTAATACATTCTGAGAGTGGCTAGATATGTGTCGTGCAGTATTATATCGTACAAAAGTGATAGATCGCAGTGAGATACACAAAATACATCGCCGAAATATCACATGTAAGTGTTTACAGAAAAGTAAATCGAAAAAATTCATGAAAATCCGTACAAAGTGTACATAGTTTTTTTTTTTTCAGTCTTAGTAGCAAATATTTCTTAGGTAAACGTGCGGTAATATATATATATACAAAACGAATAAAACAAAATAAAAATAAAAATGAAAAAAAAAAATAAATTCCGCTCGTATTACAATTAGTTGGACGGAATGTCCTTAATCCATTTCTTCATTCGGTCTGAAGAAAGAACAGTATTTANTGGGCGAGACGCGATGTTGAAGCCTGGAATGTCGCATACGACATAACGATTATTTCCAAGAACTTTGTGTACCATATAAGGTCCTTTGTAATGCGGTTTCAACTTCGCGTTTTCCCCCGGTATTATTCGAGAATTCTTTACGAGAACATAATCGCCTTTTTTATATATAGAAGGTTTAAGTAATCTATTGTCGCGATAATTTTTATTATAATTACGTATCGTGTCTGTCGCAGTGAGTGCTACATCACGCGCAGTATTTCTTAGTGTCTCGAGATCCGAATCAACATTTGCGAGTGTATCAACAAAAAGTGCAAATTGTGCATCGTCGTGGCAGCGCCTTTCAAAACCAAACAAAATTTTCGACGGAGTCGCTTTTATGGACGAATGGTACGTATTGTTTATCACATATTGTAAATAATGCAGATTCTTTTTCCATTTTTCCGAAGAAGATAACAATTTGGTTAACGAACTTTTCAGGAATCTGTTTACCCTCTCAACCATACCGTTGGCCCATGGCGCTGCGACGGCGACTAGACGATGTTTGATCTGGTATTTCTGTACGAAGTCAGCGAATTCTCTTGAGGAGAAGGCAGTGCCTCTGTCAGAAACCAGGTCAGTCGGCTTACTAAAAGATAAAAAGATGTTATCTAAATGTCGGATCGTTTCCTTAAACAAGGTAGATTTTACTGCTTTTAACCACGTATAACGTGTGAACGCATCTACAACAACAAGGATATATTTATATTTATCTGTTGTTTCCTGCAGGGGACCAAAATGATCCACATGGAGAATTTCCATCGGCCCTTTCGGCAACGGATAAAGGGAAGTCTCCCCTTCTTTGCGATTAGCTGCGTCGTTNGACATAATGCAGGTAAAACAGTTATCTATATAATTCTGTATTCTTTTCCTCATTTTCGGGAACCAATATTTTTGATTAATAGCTTGATACGTTTTCTCGAAACCGACGTGCGCCACATTATCATGATGCGTGCGTAATAAGCTAGCAATCATCTGTTCTGGTATTACAAATTTTAGATCATCACCATCTTTTTTATAGAGCAACCCATCTACTAATTTAAATTTATTACTAAAATTGTCACTCTGTTCCAGATCCGAGCTAATCTGTTCTATCTTCGGGTCAGCAAGCTGTCTATATTCTAATTCTCGCTCTAGCGGCAGTTCATGTACATATCCTATACAACGGCTCAAAGCGTCTACATGTTTCATTTTAACGCCTGGACGGTGAGTTAATTTGAAATAATAATTTTGCAGCGTTAATGTCCAGCGTGCGATACGCGGATTCAAATTCGCTTTATTTACTGCATAGACCAGCGCGTTGCAATCTGTAACCACCGTAAAATTAGTTCCATATAAATATAAATGAAATCTCTCAACAGATCTAACTATAGCTAACATTTCCAGTTCGAAGCTGTGATAGTTTCGCTCCGCTTTGTTAGTGCTCTGGCTAAAATAAGCAACGACAGCCAATAGCCCGTTTGACTGTCTTTGTAAAAGAACTCCGCCCAAACCAGTGGAACAGGCATCCGTGTGAAGTTCTGTCTCCGCGGTTGGGTTATAAATAGCCAGAACAGGAGACGAGGTAAGTTCTTTTTTCAATGTTTCAAAAGAATCTTCACATTTAAGATCAAAATGAAATTTACTATTTTTTTTTAAGAGATCCTGTAACGGTCTGGCCTTCAACGCAAAGTTTTCGATAAATTTTCGGAAATAACTTGCCAACCCGAGAAATCTTTGGACGTCATGGACATTAGCCGGTTTTTTAAAATTATGTATAGCCTCGGTGTGTTTGGAACTCAATTTAATATTATTTTGTGAAATAATATATCCTAAAAATTCGATTTCTTTTTTCAAAAATTGGCACTTCGCATAATTAATTTCAAAATTATATTTCTTAAAAATAAACAATACTTCTTTTAATATACTTAAATTTTCTTCTATACTTTCAGTCGGAATAAGTACGTCGTCTATATACACTATAACCTTTTCTTCACGGATAAGAGGATTCAATATCTGAATAATTCTCTTTTGGAATTCAGCTGGGGCCTCTGAATAACCGAAGGGTAAAAAGTTATATTCGAATTGCCCTTCCGGCGTTGCAAATGCGAAATACTTCGTTGAGTTGTCCTTGACTTTAATCTGATGGAAACCATCTTTTAAATCGAGCAAAGTGAAAACCGATTTGTTGTGCAATCTCGATATATTATCTTCTATGTTTGGAAACGGGTATTTTTGTTTCACGACTCTGCTATTAAGAGGCCTCAGGTCGACGCACAATCTAATCTGTCCATTTTTTTTTCTTANAGGGACTACTCTTGAACAGTATGGTGAAACACTCGGTTTAATTATTCCGCGTTTGAGCAAATCGTCCGTAATTGCTCTCAATTGTAACCGTTCCACNTGAGCAAAACGGCGAGGGGCAAACGCAAAAATTGAATCGTCTTTCAGATGGACCTCAACTGAATATCCGTCATTTATAGGTATAATTTCTTCCTTATCTNTTTCTACAATTAGTTTGATCAGACGTCTTTTTTCATTTTTATCAAAATCTATAGAATGGTTGTTTAATACATTTTCTAACGATTCTGACTCATTTTCCTCAATATAGAGCGGCAAGACTGGAGAATGATTCTTGCGGATGTTACTTTCGAAATCACTCGAGCTTGTATCTGATTTTTCTCTACATAATGTAAGTCTTTGTTCAACTAAAAATTCACGGCCCAGAATTATATCGTTTTCGAATGCGCATTCTTTTATAACAAATAATTTAATTGAAATTTCTTTCGCAGACAAGAAATCTAANTTTATCGAGACCGATGCGACGCCAACGACATTCAAGGGAGACCCTTTCAAATTTACAAAAGTTCTTCTCGACGGTTCGAGAACATTACTGTACGGACGAATCCATTTATTATACACATCATATTTAATAAACGAAACGGGGCTGCCCGTATCTATTAAAGCATATAAATTACAATCTTTCGAACAAATCTTTTCTACCTTGACCAAAGGATCGGCTAATTGCAGGTCGACTTCCTTCTCGTTTACCAAGGCGACGACTTCGACTCCGGCGGCGACTTCCGTTACCGGCGCTGCAACCGACGCTGGACGCTTCGACTGTTGCGGCTTCCCGTTTTTCTCTTTAAGCGTTGGACAATCAAACTGCCGGTGACCTTTTTGTTTACAATAAAAACATACTACATCATTTTTACAATCTTTATGTGTATGACCTTTTTTATTGCAATTTCTACAGACAGGATTTAGTTTTTTGTCCAAAGTGGAAACCGACGCCGATTTCTTTTCCACTGAGTCACTCAGCCCCTCCGTGAGACCCCGCATTTTTACCATAAAATGCTCCAACGTGCTGTCAGCAATCAGCAACGCGGAAGCTCTAACGGCTGTGTTAGTAATTCCGCTAATGAGCATCTGAATTGTATCTTCGGCCGGAAGACCCAGTTGATTTATTAGAGCATTTTTGGCAATTGCATATTGGTCGAAGGTTTCCTTGGCTGGGATCCATTTTCTGGCCTCAGCCTTCTGTACGGCTTTAAACATCGGAATTTTCCTTGCAAAGACGATGAACATCCTTTGCCGGAGCCCGATCCACGACTGGATTGAAGCGCCCGACTGCGACTCATACCATGTCTTCGCAAATTTAATCAATTTGCTGGTCGCGGCTAGTAATGTCACTCCATCAGATGCGCCATGCACCGCGGCCACTTGATCGACACGATTCACCCAATTTTTAATGCACTGATCTTCTGTGCCTCCATATTCCGGAATCTGCGTAGCCAACCAGGAAACGGCATTACCCGGAATATTACATTCGGTTTGTCTACCCGACCGTCCTTCACTTGAAGGCGACCGGGCAACCGCCCTTGACTCGTCAGCGACAACAACTGGAATAAAATCATTTGTTGATGTTTGCGCCCTTGGCGCGGTCGATGCCGTTAAATGTTGAATCAGCATCTGGATAGATTGTTGTTGTTGCCGCATGACCTCTGTCATCTCGGACAACGACGAACGCAACAAATTGGCCGTTAGCGGCTCTTCTAACTCGGCTCCAGCTCCTGAATCACCCGGCAAGGAAGAAGCTAACGTACCTTGCGATTCCGCCATCAGATCCTGCGGGCCAACGCGCTCCAAATGCGACAGGATACGCTCAAATAACTCGTCTCTCGTACCCGTGGTCGGAAGCTGGAATCTCTTTGCTTCAGCTTGGAGGCGCTCCACAGTTGCCGTTTCTAATGATGTACGATCGCGAACGGACCACATTTTCAAATTCACAAGGATTCGATAAGGTTGTCCTTGCTGTGCTGGACTATCACGTGCACAGGAACAGACCACGTATCGAGTAAACGCCGTGGATTATTTAAGAGATAATCCCACTTCTGAGATGAAAATAAATCAAGTCTTTTCTTATATACTGTTTAATTAAAAACTCGACCCGACTCCGATTTTAATTTTTGTTTAATAATATCTTCTGTTCGAT